GAGAAGGGACAGGTCTCCTATGGAGAAGAATTTTAAATACCTTATACAGATACACCACCTGAAGAAGGCAGAGCATAACTTTTCACTCCTTTAGTGTAAACTATACATGGTGGCTATAAAGAGGGTAATATAAAAAGAGAAAAAGGAATGACTGATAAAGGTTAACATCAAGAGTGGCAAGTCATACTGATATTATGCTTGCTTAAAGTATATTGTGAGAATGACATATCTTGGTGGGCTTGCTCCCAAAAATAATTACCATAATTTAATTATGAGAAAAACATCACACAAATCATAAGTGGGAGACAGTCTATGAAATACCTGACCTATAATTGGCAACACTGTGAGAGTCACCTAAAACAAAAAGTCTGAGAAACTGTAAAAGTCAAAGGAGCCTAAGGAGAAATGACTATTAAATTTAATGTGATATCCTGAATGGTATCCTGGAACAAAAAAAAAAAGAGGCATATTAGGGCACAGTTAAAAAAGAAAAGAAAAGACAAACCACAGACTGAAAGAAAATATCTGCAAAACATATGTCTGGTGAGGGACTAGTATCTAAAATATACAAATAACTCTTAAAGCGACAGTGATAAAAGCAAAAACTGGATGTGGGATACACTGGAACTCTCTTTACTGTCTTTGCAATAATTCTAAAAATCTAAAATTCTCCTGATATAAAAGTATATTTTGAACACAGTTAGAAATAATATCCATTTTGAAACAATTTAAAATTTTATCTCAGAAAAGACAAGTTGGAACAAACCAGTGAAGTTCATTTATGATGCATTATTCCTGAAGAATTCATAAGAGGTTCTGGCTTATTTTACTTTTCACCTAAAGCCAAGGGGTGTGTGTGTGTGTGTGTGTGTGTGTGTGTGTGTGTGTGTGTGTTTTGGGGGTGAGTGGGGTGGGCAGATGATGATATAAAACATTTCTTCCATTCTATGATACAGCTTTTTCACTTTTTAAATTCCTAAAGTCAGAATACAGTCCACAATTTACAGGAACGTTGAATATCCTAGGGATTTTTGATTTTATTAAGTTCACCTGGGTATCTTCTCTGAAAAGCTGTTGTCAAATCAGTTGTGCATCTTACAATCTATGGTGTTTTATGATTGAAGAAAAATGGTATATAAACTCCATACAAGTGTAGAGAACAACACTGTTCTTCCCAAAAGAATCATTCAGTTCTTTCAGTTCATATGACAAAATAACTTTCCCCAAGGAAAAAGTTTTATTTGTTTACTTTTATATTCATAATTCAACTTTGTGAATACATAGGTCAAGGTTTACTGAGTTCAGTTTTAAACATTACCTTTAAATACAATCTTACGTACATATACCAAGGCCTTCTGACTGTCACCAACCAGGTTAAAAAATACTTCAGGAAAGGGATAGTTGAATGCTCTACCACTTTTTTTGTTTCATATTAAACTTCTAGAGAATTGAGTGTTATACATGGACAATCTCAATACTGAACTCTGTCCCAAATCACAGCAACAGTGCAAAATAGGTAAAATTTCATGTGTTGGTTGGCACACTCTCTGTCTTTGTCAGTTGGAGCTGCTAGAAAAAAATTACCATAGACCAAGTGGCTAAAACAACAAGCACTTATTTCTCAAAGATCTGGAGGCTGGGAATTCCAAGTTCAAGGTGCTGGCAGACCCCATGTCTGGTGAGGACCCTAGTTTTCATTTGCAGATGACCATCTTCTCATTGTATCCTCAAATGGTAGAGAACAGAAAGAGAAAGCAAGCTTTCTCATAATTTTTCATGAGGGCACTAATCCCATTTGTGAGGCTTCCCCTTCATGTCCTAATCACCTCCCAATAGCCCTATTTTCTAATATCATCATATTGGGGGTTAAGATTTTAGCATACAAATTTTGTAGGACACAAACATTGAGTCCATTGCACTCCCTTATGGCATATTACCATCCATTCTCTCATCCTTAAAGGCCTTCAGCTGTGCATGTGACTTTTTGAAGATAGTCACCATAATTCTCCTCAAGGGAAGATTTTAATTTCCAAATTTCCTCCCTGAGTTTTTTTATCTATAGTTCCCATTCTTGTAGAGACTTCTTCATCCTTTCAGATGTTATACATATATATATATATATAAAATATATGATAATTGACAATGTATTAACGATAGTATATTAATACAAGGGTCAGCAAACTATTGCATGCCCCAAATCCAGCCTGAACCTTTTTGTGAATAAAGTTTTCTTGGAGTCCAGCCACACCCATTTGTTTAATCATTGTCTATCACTGGTTTTTCTCTACAGTGGCCATCTTAAATAGTTGGGACAGAGAACATACAGTCCACAAAATTGAAAATATTTATTATCTAGCTGTTTATATAAAAAGTTTTCTGGCCCATATTTTAATACAGTTGACTCAGGCAACACATGTTTGAACTGCACAGGTTCACCTATATGTGAATTTTTAAAATAAATATACTGGAAGATTTTTTGAAGATTTGTGACAAGTTGAAAAAATATACATAAAAACCTGTAGCCTAGAAATATTTTTTAAACAGTTTAAAAAAAGGTCAGGTATGTTCTAGATGCAAAAATATATGTAAATACTATTCATCATTTACTACAATAAAATGTTTACAAATCTATTATAAAAAGTGAAAATTTATCAAAACTTATGCACAAACACAGACTATACATGGAACCACTTACAGTTGAGAAAAATATAAATAAATGTAAAGGTATAGAATTAAATCACAACTGCATAAATTAACTTTAGTATATACTATATTACTGTAATAATTTCATAGCAGCTCCCATTGCTATTGCAGTGAGCTCAAGTGTTGTATCTGCTTAAAATACCATTTTACACTAATCATCTCTGTATGAGCAGTTTGTCTCTCCAGTAAATTGCAAATTATAGTAAAAGATGATCTCTTGCAGTTCTCATAGTGTTAGTGTCTCATGCAATACCATAAAACCCAAAAAGGTGAGACTAGTCATGACATTACAAGAAAAAGTTAAATTACTGATATGTATCATAGGTTAAAGTCTGCAGCTGCAGTTGCCTGCCATTTCAAGATAAATGAATCCACTGTCAGGACCACTGTAAAAAAAAGAAAGGGAAATATATAAAGCCATCACTGCAGCTATACCAGCAAGTGACCCAACCTTATGGTTTTTGTGAAATATCTTTTTACTCATATTCAAGATGCAGGTTTTATGTGGGTTCAGGATTGCCATAAGAAAGGCATACCTATATACACTACTATAATTCAAGAAAAAGTAGTCATTGTATGACAACTTAAAGCAAAATAAAATTATAGGATCTAGAGCTAGAGGATTTAATGCCAGCAAAGGATGGTTTGATAATTTTAGAATGAGATTTGGCTTTAAAATGTCAAGATAACAGGAAAGCATCTTCTGCTGAACTAAAGGTAACAGACACGTTCCCAGACACCATTAAGAAAATAATGGAGGAGAAATAATATCTGCCTAAACAGATTTTTAATGAACACACAAGTTTCCTATTCTGGGCCGGGTATAGTTGCTCATGCCTGTAATCCCAGCACTTTGGGAGGCCGAGGTGAGTGGATCACTTGAGGTCAGGAGTTTGAGACCAGCCTGGACAACATGGTAAAACCCCATCTCTACCAAAAATACAAAAACTGGTTAGGTATGGTGGCAGATGTCTGTATTCTCAGCTACTATGGAGGCTGAGACAAGAGAATCACTTGAACCCAGGAGGCCAAGGTTACAGTGAGCTGAGATCGTACCCCTGCACTCCAGCCTAGGTGACAGAGTAAGACTCTGTCTCAAAGAAGAAAAAAAAAAAAGTTTCCCATTCTGAAAACACAAAGCCATAATAAATGTATTAGTAAGGAAGAGAAGTGAGCACCAGAAATTAAGACAAGAAGAGACAGGCTAACTCTACTGATTTTTTGCAAATGCAGTTGAGTTTATGATCAAGACTGCCCTTACCTAAAAGCTGCTAAACTCTGAGCGTTAAGGAAAAAAATAAACACCAGCTTTCAGTCTTTTGGTTGTACACCAACACGACCTGGCTAATGAGAACCCCTATTCTAGATCAGTTCAATCAATGCTTTGTCCCTGAAATCAGAAGGGGCATTAAATTAGAAGCACATTACCAGTGAGGAGCTGCCTTTTAAAGTTATTTTGATATTGGACAATGCCCCTGGTCACTGAACCTCATAAATTTAACACTAAAGGCATCAAAATGGTCTACTTGCCCCCAAACACATCTCTAAGTCAGCTTCTGATAAGGGGGTCATAAAGACATTTAAGGCTCACTGCACATGGTATATGAAAAGGATTGTCAATGTTATGGAAGAGAACCCCAAAGAAGAGAACATAACGAAGGTCTGGAAAGATTACATCACTGAAAATGCCGTTGTAGTTATAGAAAAGGCTGTGCAAGCCGTCAAGGCAAAAACGAGAAATCCCTACTGGAGAAAATTGTGTCCAGATGTTATGCATAACTTCACAGAACTTATGACAGCCAATCAAGAAAATAATGAAAGAGACTGTAGATACCGTATTTTAAAAAGGAGGAGGGAAGGTGAAGGGTTTCAAGATTTGAATCTTGGAGAAATTCAAGAGCTATTATACACCGTACCAGAGGAAGTAACAGAAATTGACTTGATAGAGATGACTGCTTCCAAATGTGCCAGACAATGAGAAAGAAGACATAGAAGAAGCAGTGCCAGAAAAAAAAATTGATACTAGACAATCTGGCCAGAAGGGTTTCAGTTATCAAGACTGCTCTTGGCTTCTGTTGTGACATGGACTCTTCATGATATTATCATGTTTTAACAGATGATAAAGATAATTCAGGAATCAGAAGTTAAACTAAGTTTTTCCTAAGACACTTAGAAGATTCTAAGATTTATAATTCTTTAGGTTTTAGTTGCTATGTTGTTAATGATGTTTAAATGAAATGCCTCACTCCAAGTACCTTGCCATGACATTCTCAATTTTTTCATTATCTGTTACCTACCCACATATCCACCTTTGTCTTCTACTATGCCAGTCTTGAGTCTTGTGCACTTGGTGATATTTGATCATTTCTTACCTATAAAAACAGCAGTTTCATATGGTTAAATCCAATAATCTAAATTTTCTCCAAAGATGCCTTAAACTTTCCAGCCGCTATGTATATAAGATTCCATTTCTGTAATATAACAGTCCAGAACACTCTCCACCTCCACTTATCCAAATACTACTTTGTGTTTAAAGTTCAATTTATCAACTCATCCATGAAGACTTCTTTAGTCATTTCAACAGTCTGATTGTCCACTTCTGTACATCTTTAGGACTTCTCACCCAGGACAAAGGATATTGCTTTATGTGGTTATTTGCCTTTTGCTATTAAGCCCTGGCTCTCACAAGTGCCATACCCAATGTATACCTAGCTACAGTATAACTTTCCAAACAGTAGGGGCTCAATATCCAGCGGCTGATGATACAGTTGCAAAGTTCAGAAGTGGCCAACCACTCTATGTCTGAATAGAGCTGATCCTGAATGAAAGGCTACCATAATTTCTCACAGGGTCTGACCCGTGATTCACTGGAAAATGTAATTATCATACAGTTCTCATCCTTTGTAATTAGCAGAAACAAAACCGAACATTTGTCAGTATATGCATATTAGGAAGGCTTTGGGCAGTGCAGTTACCAGGGCTGTTTGTGCAGAACTATGAGCTAAACAGCTTTGCAAAGGCAGATCTAATATTCTTTTCTGCACAGTGAGGTAAATCTTCCACTTGTACATTCACTCCCATTTTCATCTCTTTCTCTCCTTGAAATTTGTTTTGCAAGAACATTTTAATGCATTTATCTCCTTCCTTCAGCTTGTGAAATTACTCATGCCTGGGATGCATAATTGAGAGGTATCCTCTTACACCCATGGGATTTGAGGCTTTATGAATCACTCCAACATCAGAAGAATGTTTGTATAAGAAGAAATAGATTTATATGAAAAAATGTATAAAGAAGTTTTAACAACTCTGGCTTACAAGGGAGAATTTCTATATATGCAGGCAGCAAATACATATAGTTGGCAACATTTAAGTATTAAAATAGCTTCATGCAGGCAGGTGCTTTTTCATTGGGAATTTGCAGTGTACATTTTCATCAATTTCTCCTCCTCATTTTTACACTTTGGAAAGGAATGTCTTTAATTCTCAGATTAGCACATGGCAGACCTTTAAAACTGGAATTACAATTTCTCCAAGCACAGGGACATACCTGGTATGGAAAAGGGATAATCATCTTTACAGAAAACCTACTAGGATGATTTGCCAGAGGGTGGATATGAAATCCTCTGGACATATTTCAGAGAAACAGCAATTTTTAAAAATATGATAGTTAGCTACTCTCTACTTGAAATAATGAGGTTTGCTTTTATTAAAGAGAAGTTCTAGAGTTCTGTGTTCATAATGGTCAGACATTGTGTGTGTGTGTGTGCGTGTGTGTGTGTGTGTGTGTGATCTCTAAAATTTTATTTATACTTATTAAAATTAGTTTTAGGCTACCAAGAATTTTTGAGAACAGTAGAGGCTCCTTGTCACATCAAGAATCATTGGAATTTCAGTAAATGTTATTCAGTCTAGGGAAGCCCTTTCAAATGAAACGGCTAACACTGGAAATAATGCTGGGCATAGGAGGAGTGTGGTTTGTGGTTAGAAAGCCTGCAACTTCTAGTTCTTTAAAAGATCCTTTTTGTTGTATTCCTCTTCTCTTCATTTTTTGAAGTTTCCTAGCATATTTGCTTTTCAGAAACTTTTCATAAAAATAACTGAAATTCTTTCACATAAATGAAAATGAATCATTAAATGTAAAACAAAGTATTTGAGTTGTAATGGAGACCCGGGTCCCGTGAAATCCAACTCCTGTATAATTCTAGAAATCAAATCCAACTCCTGTATAATAGAAATAAAGCACACTCTAAAGAAGTTAAGTGTACAGCTGAATTATTGAAAAGCTGGACACACAAGACAGTGTGTTCATTCGTTTTCATCACTGTCCTTCTAAGTCTGTTTTATCAAATACTTCTTTCCTGACCTGGGATAAAATCTTGGGCTTTTCCAACTACCCTCAGGTATTAATGAATAGTGTGAATGAATAGTCTAATTTTCCAAGCATTGAAAAGTTTAATATCTGTATCAGGTAGCTCTGGGGGCCATAAAAACTACCGCAGACTAAATGGCTTAAAATCTATATATCACAATTCTGGAGGCTGGGAATTCCAAGATCAGGGTGACAGCTGATTTGGTTCTTGATGGGGTATCTCTTCACCTTCTTGATGTGTCCTCACATGGTGGGGAAAGAGAGGGAGAGATCTTTCTCTCTCTTCCCCTTCTTATGAGGCCACTTATCAAATTAGCACTCTCTCCCCTCCATGACCTCGTTCAGCCTTTACAGTCTCCTGAAAGCCCTATCTCCAAATATAGTCACATTGGTGGTTAGGGATTCAACATCAAAATCTGGGGAAAGGGGACACAATTCCAACAATAACAATATCAAAGCTTCTCTTTCTCCTCTAATTCATAGCTGAGGCCTAACTAAGCCAGTTTTGGAAAGTGGTCACCTTTTTCCAGTTTTATGTGACTATTCATTCTAGCTTTTGTGCTCCTCCCCTGTCACAAAGCTGCTTCTTTCTTTTTTTTTTTTTTTTTTTAAATTTATTTATTATTATTAAACTTCAAGTTGTAGGGTACATGTGCACAACGTGCAGGTTTGCTACATATGTATACTTGTGCCATGTTGGTGTGCTGCACCCATCAACTCGTCATTTACATCGGGTATAACTCCCAGTGCAATCCTTCCCCCCTCCGCCCTCCCCATGATAGGCCCCGGTGTGTGATGTTCCCCTTCCCGAGTCCAAGTGATCTCATTGTTCAGTTCCCGCCTATGAGTGAGAACATGCGGTGTTTGGTTTTCTGTTCTTGTGATAGTTTGCTGAGAATGATGGTTTCCAGCTGCATCCATGTCCCTACAAAGGACACAAACTCATCCTTTTTTGTGGCTGCATAGTATTCCATGGTGTATATGTGCCACATTTTCTTAATCCAATCTGTCACTGATGGACATTTAGGTTGATTCCAAGTCTTTGCTATTGTGAATAGTGCTGCAATAAACATACGTGTGCATGTGTCTTTATAGCAGCATAATTTATAATCCTTTGGGTATATACCCAGTAATGGGATGGCTGGGTCATATGGTACATCTAGTTCTAGATCCTTGAGGAATCGCCATACTGTTTTCCATAATGGTTGAACTAGTTTACAATCCCACCAACAGTGTAAAAGTGTTCCTATTTCTCCACATCCTCTCCAGCACCTATTGTTTCCTGACTTTTTAATGATCGCCATTCTAACTGGTGTGAGATGGTATCTCATTGTGGTTTTGATTTGCATTTCTCTGATGGCCAGTGATGATGAGCATTTTTTCATGTGTCTGTTGGCTGTATGAATGTCTTCTTTTGAGAAATGTCTGTTCATATCCTTTGCCCACTTTTGGATGGGGTTGTTTGTTTTTTTCTTGTAAATTTGTTTGAGTTCTTTGTAGGTTCTGGATATTAGCCCTTTGTCAGATGAGTAGATTGCAAAAATTTTCTCCCATTCTGTAGGTTGCCTGTTCACTCTGATGGTAGTTTCTTTTGCTGTGCAGAAGCTCTTTAGTTTAATGAGATCCCATTTGTCAATTTTGGCTTTTGCTGCCGTTGCTTTTGGTGTTTTAGACATGAAGTCTTTGCCCATGCCTATGTCCTGAATGGTACTACCTAGGTTTTCCTCTAGGGTTTTTATGGTATTAGGTCTAACATTTAAGTCTCTAATCCATCTTGAATTAATTTTCGTATAAGGAGTAAGGAAAGGATCCAGTTTCAGCTTTCTACTTATGGCTAGCCAATTTTCCCAGCACCATTTATTAAATAGGGAATCCTTTCCCCATTTCTTGTTTCTCTCAGGTTTGTCAAAGATCAGATGGCTGTAGATGTGTGGTATTATTTCTGAGGACTCTGTTCTGTTCCATTGGTCTATATCTCTGTTTTGGTACCAGTACCATGCTGTTTTGGTTACTGTAGCCTTGTAGTATAGTTTGAAGTCAGGTAGCGTGATGCCTCCAGCTTTGTTCTTTTGACTTAGGATTGTCTTGGAGATGCGGGCTCTTTTTTGGTTCCATATGAACTTTAAAGCAGTTTTTTCCAATTCTGTGAAGAAACTCATTGGTAGCTTGATGGGGATGGCATTGAATCTATAAATTACCTTGGGCAGTATGGCCATTTTCACGATATTGATTCTTCCTATCCATGAGCATGGTATGTTCTTCCATTTGTTTGTGTCCTCTTTTATTTCACTGAGCAGTGGTTTGTAGTTCTCCTTGAAGAGGTCCTTTACATCCCTTGGAAGTTGGATTCCTAGGTATTTTATTCTCTTTGAAGCAATTGTGAATGGAAGTTCATTCCTGATTTGGCTCTCTGTTTGACTGTCACTGGTGTATAAGAATGCTTGTGATTTTTGCACATTAATTTTGTATCCTGAGACTTTGCTGAAGTTGCTTATCAGCTTAAGGAGATTTTGGGCTGAGACAATGGGGTTTTCTAAATATACAATCATGTCGTCTGCAAACAGGGACTATTTGACTTCTTCTTTTCCTAACTGAATCCCCTTGATTTCTTTCTCTTGCCTGATTGCCCTAGCCAGAACTTCCAACACTATGTTGAATAGGAGTGGTGAGAGAGGGCATCCCTGTCTTGTGCCAGTTTTCAAAGGGAATTTTTCCAGTTTTTGCCCATTCAGTATGATATTGGCTGTGGGTTTGTCATAAATAGCTCTTATGATTTTGAGGTACGTTCCATCAATACCGAATTTATTGAGCGTTTTTAGCATGAAGGGCTGTTGAATTTTGTCAAAAGCCTTTTCTGCATCTATTGAGATAATCATGTGGTTCTTGTCTTTGGTTCTGTTTATATGCTGGATTATGTTTATTGATTTGCATATGTTGAACCAGCCTTGCATCCCAGGGATGAAGCCCACTTGATCATGGTGGATAAGCTTTTTGATGTGTTGC